CAATGTGAGTGTCGGGATATCAACTGCGGGTTAGACAAAAGATGGGTAAGCTCTTTGTTCTGGCCGAGGATGGATATGAAAAAAATGAGAACAAAGAGCTCGGCGAATACAGTTGCATCTTCGTATTGAAAGACGAGTATATAGACCACATACTCTACAATGAGTATCCTGAAACTCGGAAAGGAGGAAGCCTACGCTCAATCCTCTCTCTCTTTAGTTCAATACAAAGAGAACTTCATTCTCTTATTAAAGGTGTTTTTGACCTTGAATGGTAAGTGCTTTGCGACAGTGAACCCTACGGTAATGTGAAGCACTCGGGATAGGAGAAGGCCTACGCTTAACCACTCTACGACCATTCAAGTTTTATTGTGAAAAAAGTTTCGAAAATGCACTCGGTACGGGACCGAGGTTTTAGGAGAAAAGTGTTTCGGAAAGAAGTTTTGAAAAGTGAAGGTGGTGAACATAATCAGGTCTTTGTATTGAAAGACGAGTATCGAGACCACACACTCTACAGTGAGTATCCTAACACTCGGAGAGGAAGAAGTCTACACTCAATCCTCTCTCTTTAGTTCAATACAAAGAGAACTTCATTCTCTTATTAAAGGTGTTTTTGACCTTGAATGGTAAGTGCTTTGCGACAGTGAACCCTACTGTAATGTCAAGCACTCGGGATAGGAGATGGTCTATGCATAACCACTCAACGACCATTCAAGTTTTTGTTGTGAAAAGAAATTGAAAATGCACTCGGTGCGAGACCGAGGTTTTTAGGAGAAAAATTGTAAAAGAAGAAGTGGTGAACGACAAGAAAACATGAGGCATCGCAAACACAAACAACCTCAAGTATCAGAAACTCGAGTTAATATCCAAGAAAAATACGTACAAGTGTCAATGAAGCAATATTTACAAGTGTCAATGAAGCAATATTTACAAACGCACTCGAAAAAAATCAAAATCGAGAAAAGAATTAGTCAAGGTTAAATCCAAAGCCGAAGTTAATGCTAAAAAACTAACTAAATTCTAACACCTAAATCTAATTAACCTAGCTCAAAATTAATTAATTAAATTCTATATTAATTTTATAAAAAAAAAACTAATTCTAGAAAAGTATTATAAACGTCAATGTATCATTCCAAGTGTTAACACTATCCTATCAATTCATTGAAAATTTCCTAATGCAAGAACCTATCCAATCCAATATTCTATATTTACTGCTACACGGTTATCACATAAATTGAAACACTTTGAAATCACCCTATCAGCTAAGAAAAAAACACGTTGAAATGCTACCTGATCAAATCACCAGAAAAACTCACGCAACGAAACAACAAGTATAACCTAGCAAAATCTGTCAAAATAATTCAAAAATGAGCAACACCGTATAGTGAGCGATGTTGTTGCTGGACTTGTTGTCGTTGTTGTTTGACGAAACCGTATGTTTGCAGGTATTACGGTGAAGGTGAATCTGTGCAGCAACAACCATCATGTTGAATTTATCGCAATAGCCGTAGCTTGTCCCTCACTGGATTTTATCATCATGAAATTCTAATACTTTGAAACCGAAGGTATCCCTGCTGAGTTCGACAACTTTTCCTTGATATATTAGTCAGCCAACAAAATGAAACAAATATGACAACAACATAACATCTTATTTGTGGAAGAAATTGAATCTAAAAGAAGAAAAAACATAACAGCGTCGATTCAAATCTGCTACGCGACATAAATCGAAATCAAACCGGAATCAGCCAAATAACCATCTTCGTAACTTTCGCGCAGGAGACATAATCTACGCCCACCAGTGAAAAATTATTCCTCGCATCAAATCGTTAGAGAAAATCTTGATTTGAACCGTGATGCCCTAGTTGATGCGAATCTACTTATGTTGTTGTCGTGCTGAGATCATTGTTGCTGCTATGAAACAAAGGTGGTACAAAACCGAGAAATAATATTGCTGCTTGAACGCTGTTGTCGTTGTTGTTGTTGTGGTTGATTAACCAGAAAGCCTGAGCAAGTTCCCATTGAACTTCGACTGTGATATCGTACCACGAGCTAGATGGTGCTTCGGGAAGGACGCTGGTGGGCGTTTGTGAGCCTCCGGTAACGGCTTTGTGAGTGGATTCGTCAGAGGAAGAAGATGACCCGAAGGAAAGCGGGTTAAATCTTGATACGAATGATTTTTCCTTCTTGGAACGGAAAAAATGTTTAAGAGATAGGTTTTTAGGGTTAATGAACTTTATTGGACTTGAGATGGAAAATGAAAAGAATGGATGGAATTGAGAAGAAAGAAAGAAAAAGGGATAATAAGATAAAAGAAGAGAAGGAGAATTGTGTTGTTGTTTGTAGTTGGGGAAGAAGGAGGGCGTAGCGGTGGTTTGCGATGAAGAGGAAGGGAGAGGATTCATGCAGAAAAGGAGGAAGAAAGGAGATGAGCAGTTCGCGGCTAGGGTTTCTCTTTGGGGTGGCAGCGGCCATTTTGAGAAGAAGAATAAGTTGTTCTCAGTGGCTAGGGTTAGGAAAATTTTTGAAGGAGAAAGTGAACAGGGGCGGTAGGGTTTTTCAGATTGGAAGATGAACAGTAAAAAATCCCCATTTTATACCTAATTCTCCAAACCCTAATTTTCAACTTCCAACCGTGTTTTCCTCCGTGTCCTTTTTTAATTTTTAATTAATTTTCTGTACTATTTCTTAATAAATCTAATCTACTAATAACATTCTAATTAAACCTAATTAAATTAATAATCTAATTCTAATAGTAACTCTAATTCCAAGTCCTAATCTATTTTCTAAATTAAAAAACTAATTCTAAAAATCTAATTCTAATCCTATTAATAAAGACTAAAATTCTAATTAATTTCTAAGTTAAAACTAAATAATTCTAAACTAAATAATAATAAAAAATCTATTCTAATATCTAAATTCTAAATTATAAATTAAAACTCTATGTTCTAATTTCTAAATAAAATCTAAATAAAATTCTAATTAAAAACAATATATGTAGAAAAATAAAGAAAAAGGTTAGTAAACTAAAATGGAATTAGAATTTACAAAAATAACATCCGTAGGCCACGTGTCACGCTCTCGTTGGGCGAAATAACAGAGATTCGAAAAATCACCCAATTGTGGGTGGACACACGTCTAAATAGCATGAAACTCGATGATTTGATTCAAGAGAAAAACTCCTGATCCCGTGTCTTAAAAAAATCAATGCAAAATATGATTACGAACTATGACCTAATGAAAATGCATATGAGTGCAAAGTAAAAACCAGTCAAAGTAAAAAAAAATGAGGGAAAATTTTGGGGTGCAACACCATCCCACCATTCTTTTCGTCTTGCAATTGTTGTGCCAACCAACCCAAGCCATACAACGGTTATCCGCCTCACCACCCCATAGAAATTGATGTTGAATAACAACAGAAGACGCTTTAGAGAATGATAAGTGGTGGATAGGCATATTAGTGAGGACATAATTGATCAAAGTAATCCTTCCCTCATTGACAGTATGCATCCCCTCTAACTTGACAACTTATATTTGAAACACAAGACCACCGACTTCCAAAATGCTTTCTTTCTGTGGTTTCTGCCGACAGTCAATCCTAAAAATTTAAATGGTAGAGAATTCAATCCACTTCCTAAAAAGAAAGCAGTTTCCCTTAAGAAATAATCCTCCACTCCTATACCAAATAAGCAACTCATCCAATAACTAACTTGCAAACCCGATAATAACTCGAACCCTTTTAAAACAGATTTGATAATCCATAAGTTGGACCAAGATCCATCACAAACTAACACCGCATCGTCAGCAAACTGAAGTAAGTTGCAAGACACCTCTTCACTAAATTTGAAGTCCTTCAAAATTCCAATACTTACCGCCTTTTTGACCAACACCGCTAATCCGTCCGCTGCAATTGCAAATAAAAAAGGGGACAAAGGATCACCTTGTCGTAGACCCCTCCATGCTTGGAAATATTCAGTTGGGATTTCTTTCACAAGTACCTACATATGGCTTGAAAAAACTCCTTCATCCATCCAATGCATCCATGCCTTCCCAAATCCCATGTTACGCATTGTATCTTTAAGGAACCTCTAATCGACACAATCGTATGCTTTTGTAAAATCAACCTTGTATATGAGACAACTCTTCTTGCATCTCTTTGCAAAATCTATAAGTTCGTTTATCACCAAAACACTATTAAGAAGCTGCCTGTCCGAGATGAAGGTCGTCTGGTTAGCAGAGATCAATTTCTTTATATATTGTCTCAATCTAGCTGCTAGAACTTTTGAAATTACTTTATAAACATATATGATTAGGAAAATCGACCTATACTCCTCCAAGAATTGCGGGTTAGATGCTTTAGGTATGAAAGTTAAGAATGATGAAACCATCGACTTAGGTAGAGTTGCAATACCATGAAACTCCTGTATACATTTTACCACATCACTGCTCACCACTTCCCAAAATTTCTTTAAAAAACCAAAGTTAAAATTGTCCGGCCCAGGACTTTTATTGCCATTACAATCAAACATGATCCCTTTAGTCTCTTCACAAGTGAACATTTCTTCCAAACTCAAACTATCGACACTAGACAAACTTGCATAGCCTGTCCAATTTAAAGATGGTCTATATATGGACTCAGTGGAAAAAATAGCTTGAAAATGCTCCTTGATAGCACCCTTTACAACCCTCACTTCCTCCTATCTTTCTGCCCGAACCTTAATTGAAATAATTGAATTCCTTCTATTTCTTCCATTTAACGTCGAGTGAAAGTACTTGGTGTTCAAATCGCCATCCCGTCCCCATTTCAATCTAAATTTCTGCTTAATTATGCATTCCTTCAAGTTAAGGTTATTCCACATTTCCATTTGAGTCATGCTTCTCTCTAACAAATCAGTCTCTAACGCATGCTTGTTATCAAGTCCCAACTTTGCTTCAATATCATTAATAATTTTAACTTTATCGTCAATCTTAAGGTCATTCCACCCGAACACCCTCTTATTCCAATCTCACAAACCATTCCTAAGATGTTTGAGCTTCTCCTTAAGCACATGCGCAACGTCCCCTTCAATGACTATATAATTCCATTCATTCTTAACAAACTCAACAAAACCTGGATGTTTGTACCAACAATCGAAAACCTTGAAAAGTTTTGGGCCCCAATTGGTTATATTAGCTTTGATCCAGATGGGTCTATGATCTGATATGTCTTTGTCACCAACATACTGAGCTTTGATGTTCCACAAATTGATAAGCCGTTGCAAAATTAGAAATCTATCAAGGCGACTTCTACAACTTCCACTTGATAAGCACCATGTGAATTTATTGCTCAAAATCGATAGATCTATGAGTTCCATACTGTCAATGAAAGTTGTAAACTCATTTATCTCGACGCTACTAGCCCCGCCTTTACCTCTCTTTTCCTCCCACAATTTAATTGAGTTGAAGTCTCCACCAATAAACCACTCCCCTATAGGACAATTTCTCTTCCTCTCTATCAGCTCCAACCACATTCCTCTCTTTTCAACCAAATTACAGAACGTATAAACATTTACCAGGTAAATATTGTTTCCCTTCCATGAAATTTTCAGAACGAAATAAACTTTCCCCCTAAAGCTATATGCTGGTTCAAAAACACCCACCTTTTAAATCGAAACTAAGCCCCCGTGTGACCCACCGAATTAGAAGCAGACCATTGACACTCTGAATTTCCCCACAAACTACATATCAGGTCAAATCCCATATTTTAAGATTTGGATTCCTGAATGAAAAAAATATCTACATTTCCTGAAGCAATAATATCCTTGATTCATCTTCTCTTTATTAAGCTCCTACACCCTTTAACTTTGAAACTTACGAAATTCACGGGACCCTAATTGTATCCTCCATCTTAGACTCATAATTTTTCCTATCTCTCAATTCCAAGTTGCGTATAATACCTTCGAAAACCTCGTCATCCTCTTCCCCTTCAACGCCCAATTCTTTGATAGTCTGCTAGATCTTAGTTGGAGTATCTTCAATCGCCATGTTCACCCATAAATTTTCAAAATTAACATCGTTGTCGCTAATAGAATCACATCATAACACGGACCCACCAAAATATATTGAACTTGAATCTTCTTCAGCATGGTTATTGTTGTTATATGGACTGATTTGAGGCAAAGATGAATTAAATTGGGTTTCAACAACATTTTCATAATGGATGAGTGAAGAAAAGTAGGAAGGGAAAAAGGGGATTTTAAATCAATTAACATTTTCTTCCTAGCTTTAGGCCTCAACACTAGACCATACCCTCCTATAGGTGAACAAGATATTGGGTCTAATATTTCCAAGCCCATCACTAAACTGGGTCTAACATTTTCTTTCTAAAGTGAACAATTAGTCATGCTTGAACCTGTTGGTCCATCACTTTAGATTTCCCTGGTTTCGTGCTGATTCCCCAGTGCGCCGCTTCCCAAATGTGCGTTTTTCTCGTTGTGTCTGTCCCCTGTGTTGTCGTTTCATCTGCATCTTTGCATTTATCTTTTTTTCATCATACGCATCATATTAGATTCATAGCATTGTCAGCATTGTCTTTTTGTCCATAGCATTGCATATCACTGCATCTAAGGGAAAAAATTTCGGTTATCTGTACTTAAATCTCTTTCACCATGATTTCTCGAGCCTTCGTCGCTCAAATCATCTGGTGAAGTTATTTAAATAGGGGCAACTGTCATACCCCAAATTTTACCCTTAGATTCATTGATCACTCGCATATCATTTAAGTTATCATCCATGCATAACTAACAGTTTTGCCTAGTTTGTTTGCTTTGCAGGTTTGTTAAAGCATTTTGAAAGTCATAAAAGCGTTGTGTATGTCCTGAAGAATTCTAATGCTCCGCACGTCATGTAGAAGTGCATGCACTCAGTATTATGGTCTTGTAATTGGATAGTCGTTCGAGAATTGATTTTCAAGGATGAGCTTTGGCACCAAGTTCATTTGCATTTGTGAGAATAACGAATTTCATTGTTCATGACCTTTGAATTCAAAAATAGATTTTTTGGGGTTCTTATTGTTTTGAAGTTAAATTTGGACAAGAGAATGTTGGATCAAATTTTAAGGAGTCCTTTTAAGACGGAGTTCTTTTGGTTCATCATGTCCCTACAAAATTCAAGACCAAAAGCCAAGAATGTTCGAAAGTTATAAGAGAGTTGAAGTATCTTAATGAAAGTAAGCTCTCATGAGTTACGTTCTTCATAAAATTCAAGTTCAAATCTAAGATATCATATGATTCCAACTTTTAATTTGCCATGAAAATTCCAAATTTTGAGAATGTCAAGCTCATTTGCAAAATACAAGGGTTCTTAAAATGGTCAAGAGTTTCACCATCTTTCCTCACCAAGACTCAATGCATAATTCAAGAAGATTTCCCATGAAAGAGTGTTTGTTCAAGATAAGTTTTTATTTGTCATTACAAGATTGGTATCCAAATAAGAGTACAAGCAACATATATTTCACACACTGCAATTTTGTTCTCATCATGATCAAGTTTACACTATTTGATAAACCAAAACTAAATATAAATTTCACAGGATCAAGATACAAAGGAATTATTTTATTCATGATACAAAGTTTTCTTTTTACAAAGTCTCAGCATGATTATCTACTTCTAACTCCTAAGAGACTAGAATATAAAATTTTCAAGGCCACAGGTATGAAACAACAACCACACGTAATATTGTTCTGGCACGAAAGGAAACCCCAACGGCAGAAAATGGTTTCACTTCCAGGAGGACTTCATTTTCACTCAACAGCAGAAAACCGTGTTACATCTCTAACAACAGCAACATTAGGCAGAGTGTACGACGATGTTATTATTTGATGACCAAAACCAGCAGTAAAGCATCAGGGAAGGCTCCTGTCATGAAAAAGACAACAGTTATTAAAACATCATCAAGTACATGAAAAATTAAAGAGTTGACAAGAACATCAACAACATATGAAGGTAAGGGACAAGAGAGAGCTTACTTAAAGTTAAAGTTACTCGTGAGTTTCCGTCAAGCTGATATGTGGCATTGGTTTCGAACGCCTCAAATAGAATAATGAAGATGGAAATATAGTATTCAATGAAAACAGAAACATAAGCAATATAACGACGTAAAAACTCTAGCTCCTGAAACAGAATCAGTCTCCTCCAAAGCACCTTCAAGACACGATTATTTGAATCCAGTAGGCCCCTAAAGCGCGCAAGGATCACGAAGCTGCGAGAAACCAATGTTTGTATCTCCCGAAGCCAGCCTCAGACATATTCCTGCGAGTTTCAATCATCAGATAAATTTAATTCTATCCAAAATAATACATCAATCCCCATCAATTGTTACCATACAAAACTCAAGAAGATTCGTAATCCTCTTCATGGCCAACGTTGGAGATGTGGAGGTTTAAAGAAGTTCTCATTTTCTCTCATAAAGTTCCTGTCCGACCGTCGTTCACTGCTTAATGGCATAATATTCTTGCTGCTCTCGTTGGTTCCGCAAACAAATACCGACACCAAACTTACTGAAAGAATTTTAATTTGAGATTAGAAATAAGAGCCAAACATTTCCAACAAACTTCTAAAACAAAGGTCACATAAAGCATTACCATCTATAGGCATCGAATACACACATGCCTAGATCCTGGTTAGTAAACAAATCACGGTAACCATGCTACGACCCGTCCACCAGTGCCCCACCTAGGTTTCTCTAGTACCAGCAACCTTCAAGAATCGAGCAAGCACGACTTTAGAAACCCACCTGTAAAGAAAATTACCATAGATTAAAATCAGAAGTTTGCAGCAGTTACTCAATGTCTAAAAGAAGTCCAAACAATTCAAACGCTAAAATTCACGTGATTACGCCAAGTTCCAGTAACAACAACATGTAGTCGTTTCTATACCTGATGCTTGATTTGTCATTTTTCTTCCTTTCCTTACAAGGGATCCCATGTTCATTCCACGACCTATGGATATATGATGAATTGAGGATAAATCTGAGTCACCGGCACGAGCTCCACAATCTGAATAATAAACATCGAGAAGGATGCCTGTTCAAAAGGAGAATTCAAGCCAAACATCCAATTTGGTGACAGAGTGGATAGAAAGCTCATCTGTTAATTACAAAAGGCCACGCAAAAATTGAAGAATTCAGGCGGTCATGAATTCTTTCCAAACCCTTCATCAAGCAGTGGATTTCTCATTGGTATTTTCTGACATTAATCAACAATTTACAACCATGTTCTTTCCTGAAATAAACAAACAGGCACAGTAAGACAAAATGGAAGTTCCTTCAGACTACGCATTCAAGAAACAAGAATCATATGTATAGCCAGAACACCATCACACATGGTTTTAACACTTTCAATGCAGTTTCTAAAAACAACTCACAAGCATCTGAGAGTATAAATGTTTTCAAAAAGTTGTCCTTCTGTCCAAAACAAATAAGGAATCAGCATCAAGCACCTTTAATCTTTCAAAAACAGCTCCAGACACAAACAAAACATATCAAACCGAAAATGGCAAGAAATTTTCTTAAGTTATGACAATGTTTCAAGGATTTCACTGAGAAATGCATATAAGTAGCTCGCATCGTAGATACACAAGGACAAGAAATTCGCAGATCCATGTTCACAAAACATACACAGACAGAGGCAGAAATTATCACAAAATCGCTAAACCCTAAAACCCCAAAATCGTGAAAAGAAATTGGAACTTATCTCTGGGGTTTTGCGGCCGCGCACATTACCGGAGCCTCGTCAGAATCGCCACCACCCTCACCGTTGAAACCTCCATAAATCACCAACCATCACCGCTACTGCGAAGGGCTCCCTTGCAAAACCGACCCTCGATCGCCATCGCAAACCCGCCATTAAAGTCGTGAAACCTTTCGACCCCGTCTTTGTTCTTCTTTTCGGTAAATCGTTGACCCCTTTTGTTGTTTGTTCTGTCCATGTTGTTGTTTTCAGGTGCGAAGTGAGAAATGGCGAAAGAAAAAGAAACGAACGGAGGAAAGAAAAAAAAGAGAAAGAAGGAGACGAAATGAGGGAGAAAGGAGGGGGAATGCGCCGCGTTTTCGTTTTGGGGATCTAGGGTTTTCAGAAACCTTTCCCTTTCCGTCCAATTCGAACTGGGCCGAGTCTGGGGATTCCATCGCCCCAACCCACCCATTTTTGTTTAATTTTTTATTTATTATTTTGTCAGTTTTTGTTGTATTTTTTTAAAATATTAATATTAAACAAACTAACAACTAACTACTAACACTAACTTAATCTTAAAAACTTGAATTAAATAAATCTAAATTAATTTTTCAATCTAAAAACAAAAAAAGTATAATTTAGCTC